TTAAGTCTTGCAGAATCGGCTTTAGACGCTACACCATCCATTTTGTGATAATCTTGTACATAACATTACATAAGCTGATCGGCTTGAAACTAACGATATCCACAGGCTTGTTGTTTCCTCAAAGGTAGGGGAAACTAAGAATGAGTCATTCTATTGAGGAGATAGAGTTGGGGGATTTAGGCCATTTAGTTGAGCTGGATTAAAGACTTGCCTCCCACTTGTAGAAATACTTCTTTGAAAGTATTAATTATATAATCTCTATTAGAGGTGTAGGAGCCATCCGAACATTTTAGCCAATCAATGGTATTCTTGGAGTTTTTGAAATTAGCCGTGTGATGAAAGAATTTTGTGTTTCTATCCCCTTTCTAAGCTATAACTCCCTTGATTTCACTTTCCCAATTGCTCTTCTTTAACAAGCCAATAGTTATATTGGTCTTTAAGAAAATGCAGTTCCTGCTGCTCTTCCCTTGACCGAGCCCTCAGTTGTAAATTTGTTATTTTCTCTCAATGGAAAGAACCATAAAAACAAAGCTTGGGGTATAACTAATTATAGCTCAAATGCGAATTATTTCAGCCTTGAACTCAATTTGCATTTAAACACGTAGAACCATTCTGAGCATTGGAATTTCTATTTTTGTTTTTAGTACACGTCTTTCAAATGAACCATATACAGGGCATCCGGAATATTGTATCATTTCAGGCTGAGTCCTCCATATGGGTCCAATACAATATTCCAAATGTACAGTGTAAGATGGAATTGTATGGTCTACAAGAAAAGAAATCTGTATATATGTTTATTTAAAGTTGTTTCATTTTACAACAAGTACAAGAAAAGAAAAGCACCATTCGACGAGAGATTGAAACAAACTGTGACCGCTATCTCAGCACTATATCTACATTGAGGCCTTTAAAACAAAACCATAAACTTTGGTGAACCCGACAAAAATCAGGTTTACCGGCTGCTTTGATTTTGAAACAAACAAAAGTAAATGATTTTGGTGAACCCGACAAAATCATATTTCCGAGGATAATGGTCTCGTGAACATCTCAGAGCATCTCGTGGGGGCAGATGTTAAGCTTTTGGTCTCTGCTTCCAAGGCCCAAGGATTAAATAAACTATAAAAGCCCAAAACCTGCGCGCCTATTGCTGTGAACAGAGAGGTCTTTTACTTTTAGACTTTTATCCTTCGACCTTTCTTGATTTTTTTCTCCTTTTTTTTATGATTTTACTTTGAGTATGAAAAGAAATTAAGAGAGATACCTTACTTGACTTAACCACCAAGGCATCTTAAGGTTCCTTCTTAGCTTTTTATCCTCTCATCATCTTTAATTATTGCTTTAATTTACAGTTTAGTTTATATGGATTCCAGAGCACTCTGTTTCTTTGAACTTTAAATTCATATAAAAAGCAAATCGTTTCTGAAAGGCTCTGAAGTTAGCGATCTTCTCTCATCATTATTAAATGGCGATGGGTACCCTGTATATGACGGTGCCTGCTGTGGCCGCTGCAATTGGATTCTATTTCCTGGAGACCACCCAATCCAAATCTAAGAAGGTGAATTATATTTCTCTCATTTCATCTTGATCCTATATACATACACACGTACTTTTGCCATGTTAATGGATTTCTAAAGCGCTAGTCTTCTGTTACATGAATTAATTCAGCATTTCGAGGGTGGATTTCAAGCCTCTCTGGAGAGGTTGGTTTCCAAAGCCAGGGAAGGGATGAAGACGGTTCGGCCACCAAAATTTGCACCTGAGTTTGACGGATTGCATTCTTTCGAGACCTTGGTGACTCGTTAATTTCTCTCACCACGCTGTGCATAATAAATTTTAATTTCGAATTTAAATCGTTTTTTATTAATAATTTAGAGGCATATATTTTGTGAATCTGCGTTGATTGAGCCGCTTTCAAGAAACTAACCAAGATAAGATAGTTTCACCCCAAAGTCGATTTTGGGTCTCTCTAAACAGGCTCAGTTTGGAAGGACTATAAATACATGTACAGTATAAATATATACAAAATAATATAAAATATAAGATTTTGCACTCTATATATTTACATTTGTGCTCCTTCCAAACTGAGCTTAAGCTTATTTTCAACTTTCCAGATTTTTACCAAATCTCAGCTTAACACCTTTAATCGTTGCATGGAAAGTGGAAACCCTCCCAAACGGCTACCCAATATCTTGATTCTTGAGAAAAGAACAAGATCCTTAACATGTTTATTATCGAACAATCAGACACTGACAGGCAAGCAATCAATTATAATCGGGTCACACCGGTTAGGCCTAATAAGTCCAATTAATAATGGGTCAATTCTGCGTCTATTTGGTTTGAGTAGGGATCATGTCTGTTCAATGCAAGATTGCAAGAGACTGTTCTAATAGTGTAAGCATGTACTTGCACTTAAGTTTCAAAGTATTGAAAATGTAAGATGTATCGGGAAGACAATTTTAAGAGATGTATCAGGATACACTTTAGATATGCATTAGATATATATATGAAAAGTTAAAATACCTATAAATGTGTGAGGAAATTCAAATATATTATTAACAAATGTAAAAATCCATACTTACAATCATTTAATTGTAAATGATTACAATTAATAACTGTTGAAAAATGATGGAATAAATAAAATGTGAGAAAAAAAAAACTAAAATATGAATGTGTATACATCAATTTTCAAATAACCAATATAAATGTTATGTGTGTATATTAATTTATATTAATATTTATTAGTATATAAATTTTAAAAATTAATTCTAGCATTTATTAATAAATATCTATGAAGAAAAGAGAAAATTTACTTAAAAATCATAATGCATATCACCATAGCAAACAAATGGGCATATGGCATAGTGGTGACTTATGGTTGTTAAAACCTAGTTACTAAGGTTCAAATTTTGCCATTGTTTAAAGACTATAGTTTTTATACTAAGTTACTAACAAAATGAAATTAATGAGACAGGATCATTAATTTGCGGAGTTAATGAGAGAGTATCATTAGTTTGTGGAATTAATAAGAGAATTTGAATTAGGCGCTAAAATTTAAATTTAAAGTAGGAGTAATCGACTAATTAATGAAAGAAAAGTTAGAATTAAATATAAAAATAATTAAAGAGATTAATGAATGAAGAGCACCCGAAAAAAAATCAAATGTATCGGCCTATATTGTGTCAGACATTCGGATTGTATTGTATCGGACTGTTTTGGGCCCATATTGATTGATACAAAGCGAAACAACTCATATTGTACCAGTGCGATACATACGAAAAGAAACAAAATGGACGATTTCTACACATTCCACGTATCAGGCTCTTGTCAGAACGATATGTATCAACTTGTACAACCCAATATGTTGCAAATTTTAAGCCTTTCTATCACTGACCAAAGCCAAACTCATCTTCATCTACCCAAAGCCAGCAACCTACCTCGAACCTAATCTACAGGCTCAGTAGGCTAAGAAAAGCACAAAACTAGACACCCTATAATTAGAGTCCATGACGGCTCAACCATCAATGTCGAGTGTAGACGATGCTACCGTGCTCAACACCCAATTACCTGAAGGACTTGTTCGCTTTTCATCAGGAACCTCCTTTCCTGGGCAAGTACATTTATATGGATAAGGAAACATTTATCCTAATTACATTTACCCATGTTAATAAGGAAATCACTTACCTAGTAATACCATAAATAATACCTCTAAAAATCGATTTTGCCATAAATACCACACATTTCTAAAATAAGAACATGGATAAATTGATTAATGGGAACGCAATGCCATTTACCAACTCCCCCTACCTTTTTTAAAATCCCAAAAATAAACGAGGCCTGAAAGTGAAAATTCTCTTTGTTTGAAATTTTTAACCCAATCTAGAAGCTTTTGATGGTTCGACTGCAAGCTAACCTAGCTAGAGCTAGTTGCTGAACCATGTCCGTGCAATTGCACATGCTACACCTTAGAGATTTCGATTGTTTGGGAAAAACAGCTCAGGCTGTTTGGAGAGACAAATAAAGCATGGCTATCTTACGTCGCCCCTGCTTGAAAGCAGTTTTATTCCTAATATTTTTTAGATAATCTTCAATGCAGTTTGAATCTAACAAACTAGTGAAAGCAACAGGTGATTACTTTTAAGGCTGCATTTGACAAGAGAGCAAACAATGAACTGAAGCAAATTTATACTCAAGTTCAACTTTTCAAACATTTGGTAAAAACATGTGTATTGTAAATGACAGCAATTACAAATCCTAAGACATGTTTCCATTCAAAATGGGAACATCCAAAATGGATGCAAGTCAATGTAGAAAGTGGATTACAGTCTTGGAATACGTATTTGTACAAGCTGAATTTTAGACCAACTCATCTCAGGACCCATATGATGTTCTGATGTTTCAAACATGTGACTGCAAATTGCGGGTGCCATATCCTTAAAACCCACCTTTAATCATCCTCTATTATTTGAAGTATGAATTTTCCAAATCAAGCCAGCAGAATCTGAAACTCACTCGACTAAGCAATGTGAATGACTTTATAGTACTAGATCAACACCCACACAATCATCACCTGAACCAGCCATGGACATTGCACAATTCTCTTGGTATCCAACCTATGGAGGAGGGTTCCCCATCTCGCCTAAACACCAACCTTTGGAAAAGGTTGAACCATAACAGGATGAGCCCTAGTTTAGCATCTCCCTAGTAACCAAACCTCCAGTACAGACAACACAAAACGTGGTTTGCTGATTACCACCTTAAAGAGAATAACAAGTTTTTCTTTTCTCACAACCAATCAAAAATTCTGTCTAGTTTTGGAAGTTTAAAGAATGAAACTGTACATCATTTCAATAGACAGCATATACCTAGAACACTCTATGGTTAGACCGAATAGGATGTAATCCATATAATCCAGTTAAGAGAGTTCCAACTGCCTTCTATTTCTTTCTTGCAATAACAATGCACATCCACCAAGTAAGAAGCTATTATTTTAGAAATTTCAATTACCGATGACATAAATAATCCATTTATTGTACACAAAAAAAAAAACAGATATATGATTAAAGAAAAGTGATCAGTGATTCCATGTCAGGATGCCAATGACATTAACTCTTAAGCATTTAAAATTTTAAATTCCACTACCATAGGCACCAAAGAATCAAATCTCAGCCTTAAAATAATAACACAACTCCTAGGATATCGGTGGATCCTAAACTTTGCCCTCCAAAATGAGGGGAAAAAAAAGAGAAAAAGAAGACTGACTGATTAAACCATACTGCACACGCAGCAAACCCACACGGCAGTTCCTAGATCTTAGAGAATCTATGGGCATAAAATCGCAGGAATAATTGATCTAGCAGATACAGGCATCTCAAACTCTACTCAATCTACTAATGCAGATGGTTTCTGTGAGAAAGGATGAAGAGATTTGGCTAATCTCTTTTTGTGAAATTTCGGACAGCAAAGGCTAAGGCCAAAATCAAGATGGGTACCAGGAACTGCATTATTTTAATCACAAACTGAGTTTTATCGGAATTATAAGGTGTCTGTTGGGGTGGAATGTATGTACGCTTCAGTGGAATGGTCGAGCTGTCAATCTCACCAATGTAGTATTTTTCCATTATTTCTCTTGCCGAATCACTGTGACCAACATCTTCAAAATCATTAGTTGCATCTTTTCCTGCAAGATTTCAGAAATTCATGAGCTTGGTCCGATACATTTTGTCTTGGAAAGAGCTGCTCATATGACAGTGACACGTTTCTAGGAAGTAAGGACCATCAACTTAAAGACTTTGGTAATATTCAAGGTTCATAAATGTAATATTGTAACCATTACCAGTTGCAGCCAGCAAGACCTCATCGCCACCAGGATGATCGTCCATAAATGAAGTAACATCATACACCTAAAACAGCAAAATCAGAAATACAAGTTATTTGAAGGAAAGAAAGAAGATGATACGAGGAAAGCTCACATATCATTACATGAGAAAAGCTACTCCCAAATTGTCCTTTGAATTTCATTATATTCCATGATATAGTTGACCTAGTCATGCATATGATAATAGTCATTGACATAGCAATATAATTCCTTCTAGTTTCAATTCTTTAATGAGGACTCACCTTTTCCAAGATCTCATCTTACATGGGAAATATGGAATTCAAGAAGCAATATAAAACCACCAAAATTGACTATAAAATTTAACGTTAATGATGCAGGGAGCCAAAGAGCCAAAACTGAACTTTTATGAATTTTTACACATTTCTATTTTTTTAGGTAATAGGTGTATTTTGGATATTTTACATGCTACATGTGGGGTTCAGCCTATTAGTTTGATTTGTCCAGTTGTAGTTAAGTTGCATTTAAATTCTCAAAATAGTCATGGAATTACTCATTTATTTTTCAAGTATGAAATCAAAATCATAATTTTGAGTTTTTTCAGTTTGAGGAGTTCCCTAGACAATCCATATTGTGATATGTGGCTAATGAACTTTGGAGATTATTTTCTATTTGAGAGATATTATATTCTTAAAGCCCCATAATGGTTCTAAGAACCTTATGATTGATTCCTAAGTTCTTCTTCTTCTTCTTCTTCTCTCCTTCTCCTCTTTGTCTTCTCTTCTAAGTTTTCTAAATTCAGCCACTAACAGCCATCAAAGACCTCTGAAAAAGCAATTAACAACCATTTTTCAACATTGAACAGTTCCTTGATTAAACCTATTCAAGAGCCTCACCTAACAGCTTAAGCTTTTAGGTTGAACAGTTCCTTGAGAAGTCTTATTCTTAAATCAATTTCCTCCAATTTTCAACTCTCATACACTTTCTCTAGAAGAGGAATTCCTTTCTCTCTAAGTCATCCATACAAAATCTTGGCAAAAATCAAGTTCAATTCAGGTATTCCCTATATTGTAGGTTTGTTTTCACCCCATTAAAATAGTTTTCTAAAATTCCCACTAAAATCCTAGTTTTCAAAAGTTTATGATTTTGGGAATTCTCATCTTTTCATGCTAAATCGTCTAAGAATCCCTCCAAATACAACACCTTCTTTAGTTTACCATTGTAACCACTCCTTTGAAATAATTTAATGAAATTCCATATCAATATTAAGATATTGACTTTTTGTTTTGTCTCTAGAAATGTCGACATTAGCTCCCTATATTTTAAGTTCATTTTCATCCCATTAAAATAGCTTTCTAAATTCCCACTAAAACCCTAACTCTCAAAAGTTTATAATTTCAGAAATTCTCATCTTTTGTGCCAAATCATCTTAGAATCCCTCCAAATTCAACCACTTCCTTAGTTTAGTATAGTACTCCATTGAAATAGTTTAATGAAGTTCTATATCAATATTAAAATATTGACTGTTTTTGTCCTGTTTCTAGAGATGTCTGCATTGGCTTCCTAATCAAATCATACAGCAACATAGTCCTAGACAATGCCTCAATTACGATCCACTTTGCCTGGACTTGCTCCTAGTCCCACCCCCAAAAACCCAAACCTTGGACTTAAAACCCTTGAAATCATCATTTGCTTTTCAGTTTTCCCTCAAACTTTTTACCAATCTGGCCTTGGATCATCATCTATCATTCTATCCTACATTAATTCGTATTAAAGCATGTCATCTTACATCAATTGGTATCAAAGCAACCAGCCCTACATCAATATGATATCACAGTAGTTGATCCTATAACGTAGCATACCTTTTACTATTAACCCTGATCATGATGTCACATTGATGATATCACAGTAGTTGATCCTATATCATAGCGTACCTTTTACTATTAACCCTGATCATGATGTCACATTGATGAGTTATTTCTGGAAGACATTCTGGAAACTTCTTAAAACCAAGTTGAAGTTCTCTTCTTGATATCCTCAGACCAAAGGCCAAACTAACATGATTTATATGATATTGACAAATTGTGATGTTTCTTAGTCAATGATCATATTTTTAGATGCGACTTTATCTTGCCTATAGCTCAATTTTCTTACAATGAATTAATCAACAGATCTACAACAAAGAATCATTTTGAGATGGTGAATGAGATACAACCCAGAAGGCCTGTTTTTGCTTAGGTCTTCATGAAATTCCCAAATATTGATAAGTTTTTAGGAAATCCCATCAAAATTCATACTTTCAACATAAACTTCCCCAAGAAAAAAAAAAAGAAAAAAAAATATCCTTTGCATGAAATCAAATGCACTTATTACATACATCAAGGGCATGGAACCTCAAATATCATTTTTTTCAAGTAATTAACTTCTGAAGATCATTATAATTTGCAACCAAAATTGAGCCAAGGTTGATGTTAGGGGTGTAAGCCAGGTATCCAGTTTAAATAGCTTACACAGCATTGGGCCCAGGTTCCCAGGCTGGGTCAACTAAATTTTAAAAATTTTCAACCCAAGCACCCAAGTTGCACCCCCTAGTTGGCATGGGTAGTGTTCCTGCAACCACTGAACCTAATTATGACCTTATTGCTCAGTATCTACCTAAGGGCAGACTACTTGTATTAACACAATAAGCTACATACAATTATGTGCCCATTAAAAAAAGAGCTTCATACAACTACATACAATAATGTTTGAATTGTAGTGTTATAGCTGCCAGGTCAATCAGCATTGGCATTAAGGGTGACGGAATGTAATGTAAAATTCGATTTAGGTTTATCATATTTGCATGCCTTTGTTCTGTGACTCTTAGGTATAAGAAATTTGGATTTTGATGGAAATTAAATATACTTTTTTTCAACATCAACTGTCTTGTTGTGCATTTATTTTTTTGGTAATTATTTTATGCATGGATTCTTTCACAGTTTTTGTGACGAGATTCAATAATTTAACTTCCTTTAAAACATATAGTGTTTGTCTTAATCCTTCTCAAATTTTCTTGAATATTTAATCCAATATGTGCAATATATCATGAAAGCACTCCTCTTAGCTATATTTGCAGCTATTAGAATTTTCAAACTTTGCTTACCACAAATATATTTCAGATCTTTACTATGGATTCCCAACTCAACTAAGCCTCGTCCCAACTGTACGGGGTCAACTACAGGAATTGTTTTCTACTATTCCACTCTATCTTTACCATGAATTCTATGATGTAAAATGTCATGTTTAAGTTGGGACTGATGTTAGATAAGTTTTTTAACTAGTTGTAAACCAAAAGAAATATAGAGCTTATTCCAAAACAAGATTCTTCAATACAGTTTGGCTTCCTTCCAAGAAAAGGAAAACAATTCCATCCACATTTAACATTGTGGAGAAAAGCTTTAGATGCGATTCTTAATTTTGCTCACATGGTAAAATTGATATACTGACTTTCTCATGTAGATCAACTTTATAAATGTATGCTTAAAGACAAGTTGCAAAACCCTTGTAATTCAACAACCAAAGAAACTAATCCATATAAACAAATAAGTAAAGGTTTGCTATTTCAATTCTCCAGATAAAAGATCTAAATGACCCAACAACTTCACACATGGTTACATGGTGGGGAACCCAAACAGGTTGTGTAATTCTTTCTCGGGGAAGCCAAAGTTTAAGTCATCTAGAGAATACACTGAAGTAACTTGTAGGAAACATTTTTCCGAATACTTGCTAGATCATTTCAGTAGTAACTAAAGATGCACAGGATGGTGTTACAAGATGACCATGTTTTACAGGGGAGTGACTACAGGTTCCCTGATAAAAGGGAAACTGAATTAGTTGTGAGTAGCCCTTTTTTATTTTTTGTAAAATAAAAAAAAAATACAAAATTCTAAGGGGGCTAAACTAGTAAGGAAGCAAGAGAGAGTAGGCTGATGTGGACAACTGCATTTAGAAATATAGTAACAGATTTTAGTAGGATAAGAAACGTGTGTGCTGTTTCAAATAGTAAAAGGTGTCTTGAACTGTTAAAAAAATGTAATTGTACTATTTAATTATTCTCAGGTAGAAAATAGGAGATTGCTGAATAACCAAATGCTTTGAAAGAGAAGATAACAAAAAAAAAACACCTGGAAGTACCTATTCTGCATAATATATAAGCAAGATACCCCAATCCAAAGCATAGGTTGGAAATGCATACTCACCGCTTACTACAATGCGCATCTCACCAAATACCTACTTATATTTGGAGTGAAACTTCTTTCCTGGTTTACTCCCCCACCCCAAAAAAAAGTTCCTTTCATCTTAACCGAGAGCAGTGGTTCAATTGAGAAGAGAATTCAATCGGATCAACACTCTAAAATAATTGGAAGAAAACTAATATATCTGCCCCATTTCAAACCACTTTTCCCGCATTAGAGTTAGTCGCTCTTATCTATATGCCTTGAAACCCTAAAAACTATCAATTCCAGTTCATCCCTAACATACCAGAAAATCCTTTATAATTCTACCATTATCATAAAAGACTTCAGAACAAACTGGAATAATAACGCGCTGAAGGCATACATAATCGATCACGAATTCATATTAACAATGAAAGATCAAACTGCTAGTTCAGCTCCAAATAGTGGATTTTTTTTCCATTTTTCAGAGATTGTAAACAACATAAAGAATCTCTTTACTTCAAATTAACTACAAAAAATAAACTTCTAAAATTAAATAGAGATAAGGAAGAAAGATATTGAGAAGGTCCAACACAAAATTAACACACACAGATTAACAAACATAGAAAAAACTGACCTTCCCAGAGATAATAAGCCAGCAATCTTTAGTTTTATTGTGCTCTGCGACCTCTTCAAACAAGTAAGTTTTGGAATCTGAAGCCATGACTACTTTGATACTTCCTTAAACAGAACAAAATTTCATATTATCTATTAAAATCGATCTTCGACATCGTTGAACAGAAAAACAAAATACGAAATAGACAGATGAAAGACAAGTCGGGGATTTGAGAAAGATGAAAGAGTGAGACGTTGTTGTAGTGGCTGAAACAATAAGCTCTTACCAAATCACCAACCCTCTTTCCCCGACCTCCACAGTCCGCAGTCCGCACGAAGAAAAGGTTGTTTCAATGTATGTGCTATTTATATACATATAACTTGATGTGATATTGTACATCTAAAAACCAACCCCAAACTTCAGTTAAATTACTGTCTTATCCTGATGGAAATGACCAAAATGCACTTGGCACTTGCAATATTAAAGGCCCCATTTCGTTTATTATCTATAAATATGAGACTTACGAAAATTTTATTTTGGTAATTTACCTGAAAAAATCATATACTCCTTTGTGTATCGTTTTTTTTTTCACTTTTATAAAAAAAAGTTATTTTTTCACCGAGAGAATAAAACAAAAGAAGTTTTAAAAAGTAAAAACAAAATGATTTAAGGATAAATGTGGTAATAGAAAAAAATTATCTCAATAAACTTCAACAAGAAAAAACGCAGTGGGTAAAAACTTACCGATAAACAAATCGGGAGTGTTTTTGATAATTTTGTTGCCTGGATAATTTGACAAATGACTAGCGAGTGGCGACATTAGACGTTATACCTAATCGAATCGATATCTGCTCCTCACATAACGCAGTAACGCACCTAATCTCACAGCCCCATCTCACCATATATGTTTCTAATATGCGGTGGGATGGGACTGTGAGATCGGTGTGAGACGCGCTTTCTAAAGTGTAAATCCGGATTTTACCTAACCCTCTTCACTCTTTTTCTTTTTCTTCTCTTTTACCCGATGCACCGTACTTTAAAAAAATGTCTGAATCTTCATTCAACAAAATATTTTTAACACGATGATTCCAATTTCATGACGAGATGTGCAGTGTTATAGATGTTGGAATTTTTTCGACAAGAGATCCCAACTCGCTTGAAACTCGTGAATAGAAAAATTTTAATCTTGTTGCGATTAAAGACTTAAGAGTCTCGTGAAGAACACGGATGTGCCTAGCAATAATAATTGTTGACTCTTTGACACTATACATGCTCAAAACCGCGGCTTGATCAAAACGGGGGCGTAGCGTAGCGTATCGTATGAAAAGTTGGAACTTGGAACCAGACATGCAGAAGAGTTAACATCGGCACCCAATACCACATTCCAACCATGTAGTGGAAACATCTCCCAAATCCCAATAATAAATACGGGAGATGTTCCTAATCCATGTTTAGATGTACATGTAGGCCGCGCCCAAACCGAAGGAATCGAGGGAAGGAGACTCGTTGCACTGCACGTGCGGCGTGGTATTGATTATCGAAGTGGAGACTCCATTTGCGTTTTTCTCGTGGTATTGATGATTGATGGGACGTGCTTTTTCTCAAGTGAGATATGTTTGTTTGTGATTGCTCCGAAACGGGATTCAGTCATATCTAATTTCATTCGAACAGTCATCATAGCCTTATGGAATATTTTCGAAGTACGGAGATATTCTGATGCAAGATTATAAAAGTTGTTCGAACAGTGTTTGAACGGATTTTGCCCTGATTGACTGAAGTCGATCTCATTTACATGCGTTTTCCTCGTGAAAAGGTAATATCAAGAATGGAATAAATAGAAAGAATTAAATTAAAAACCTCTCCTCAAAAAACATATGTTTGTTTATAACTAGTGCTGTTCATGGGTCAGGTTGGATCGGTTTATTGAGGTTTTTTCAATTGACCCGATCTGGTTGGGTTATCTGAACTTGAAACCGAAATTGACTCAGTGTTAAACAAAATCGATCTAGTTGGTTTGAGTCGGGTTGGGTCAATTTGGGTCGGTTTGGGCTCTTAGTTCAATCATGCTTGACAGAAATTCAACTGCAATATATATGTGGGGATTGTGGCACCACAGTATGTGAGGTAGTGAACGCGGGAAAAGCCTTGTTTTTGATAAATAGGATATATCTCTAGTCCACAGTTTGGAATTTGGAGAGGAGAAGAGCAAAATCCATATATAATAATAATGCCTATTATAGAGGTATATATGTTATATATCTTTTCAGTAATTAAGTTTTATCTCCAAAACCACCAACCTATCCCTTTGATTATATATTCATTTTGAAGTTTAATTGTCTTAATTGGGATTTGGGTGAATTCTGTAGGGAGACTTCAGGACAGTTAATTACAATCATTAATCTAGCCAATGTAATAGATTTGAAGAAGGACAATTAGTTATGGGGGCTTAATTAATTTAAACTTCATAAAGGGACAATTAGTCGGTTCGGTTCGGGTCGATTTTGGTTTTCACACAAGAAAACCAAAACCGACCCAAACCATCGGTTTATGATGTTTTACAACCCGAAACCGACCCGTGCTGAAGATAACCCGACCGACTCGGGTTGAGTCGGTCTGGGTTGGTCGGTTTGGTCAGGTCGGGCCTTCTTATGAACAATCCTATTTAAAACAGTGTTTGGCATCGATGCCTTTGCTCTAGAAAATGGTGACATATCAGTGCCACGTTGGAAAAAATGGTATTCCAAAAAACATATATTTGTTTAGAACTGTTTTTTCATAAAAAATGGTGTTTCAAATCATATCTTAGAAGTTAGAAATGAGGAAGGTGTGGCTTGGATCAATACTAAATTTGACATTTCTTAGAGTTGTAGCTCGTTGCTGCTAACAGGGACATGACGTGCAGTGACAGGGACATGACGTGGCACTAGATAATAGGTACAAGTGCTGAAAACGTTTCCTGGAGCATTGGTACCAAACAAAAAACATTGTTGTTGCACCAGGAAACATCCTACCTGGCAGCAACGTTTCCAAACAAAAAAACACCATTTTTCTCAAAAAACGGTGCTTCCAACCCACACATTTACAACATATATACTTAATTTTCAAAAAACTTCAGTTACCACTACGTTAGTTTCATGTATTAGTGTTTTTAAAATACAAATTCTACCTTTATATCCAACAATTCATATGAAATTTTACTAAAATGCAATCAAAAGGATTTTTAACTTTTAGATAAAAAGTTGTTTGGGTCAAATTGAAAAAGAGTAAAGTAATTTTATTTTGTAAAATTGTGAGGTAAAGGGAATTCCTGATGGGTAAATCTAACATTTTGAACTATGTAAAAAGATTCCCTATTCAGTAATAAGGGTAATTTAGTAAATTTTAAGTTTAACAATGACAAAAGGAAGGTTATTGTAGGTTTTTTTTTCAAAACTACACAGGAGGCTTTTATTTAGGAATGGTAATGGGGCAGGGCCAGGCTGGATTTTTCCTACCCTATCCTTGACCCTGAACTTAAATGCCCCACCTCGAACCCTAGCAGGGCTAGAAATCCTAACCCATCCTTGTCCCTTGGGAAACAAAGATCCTTGTATACTTACAAATTTATTTTTTACTTTTTTTCTAAAACCTACCTAGATCTATTTAATATTATATAACACTAGTTGGGGACCCATGCTATGCACTTGCATACTCATCAATCTTGAGCTTATATTTAATACAAATTGTCAAACAAAGAGAGAGAGAAGTAGGCCATGAAATCAATACTATTTGTGGCAAATTTTTTAAACTACCCTTATGGTTTAACTAATTGACTAATTCACCCTTACTGTTTACATATTGTCTTAAAGTACCTCTAATGTTTCTGACAATTGTCTAAAATCTCCCTTGCCGTTAATTTTATGTCATACTCTCCATTCACATTTGACATCATGTGACTGAAAATTTTTATAAAATTCCTAAAAGATCCTTATTATAACCTATTTGTCCTCAACCTTGATACGAAGAATAGAGCAATGTGACTAGCTCAAATCAACATTTTCGACATTCCTCAGCTCAAACAATAGATCCCCAATATGTGCCCAAAGTCCATTGGAATGCAAATCCAAAACCCTCAATTGTTGAAGGTTTCTAATTCCGCTAGGGATTGGCCTATATAATAGATTCCTGGATAGATCCAAATGCTACAAAGAAACCATCGTGGAGGTTCAGTATGTGATATGCTATAAGAAACCATCGTTTTATTCATCCATTATTATTTGTGAATATACTACGAGATGAATATCAAGTGCATAAAAAATAGTATGCTGCAAAGAAACCATCGTTTGGTTCATCCATTACTAAAGTACCCAAATTTTTATGCACATGCTGCAACATGTAAACAATTTTGATTTTTTTTACACTCTTCAGTTAACTTAAGGTGTTTGACTCAAGTTCAAATCGCCATTCAAGTTCAATTCATCAAGAGCAATACCAGTGCAGAGCTTGACTCGTCACTAGAGAGAAATCTTAATTTTTCCTCCATTGAGAGATTTCTCAAAACCCTAGAAGTACAAAATTTCCTCAAACTAAAACTGAAGGGCGGAGTAGAAACCAGACGACACACACGACACCAATTCTTACAACAGAATCACACTTGCTCAATCGAAGTTGCAATGTTCCTTGAAAACTCCGCCTTCATCTCTGGGCTCTGCAATTTCATCATTTTTGTGCTATTAGTAATTAAGCACGTGCCTTGAACGTATGGATTTTTTTTCATATTAGTTACTTGAACTTTAGATATATCATAGTTAAGATATAAATTGAAAATTAATAAAAGTAACAATATGAATAAAAATAAACTTAAATACTTGTATTAAATGTGCACATGCAGAAATTTCAAATTACAATTATTATTATTATTATTATTATTACACTATTAAAGTTTGTGTTTCATTTTTGTATTAAATAAAAATAATATCTATTATTTTTATTTAATATGATGATTATATAACATTAGAAATGCTCTAAAACATCTTTAACAAAACTCTACTTTTTTATTTTTTGTGTTCAATCTTTTTTTAAATATTTATTATTCAATTACGACATGAATTTCTTTAAAAAGTTGGGATCATTGACCCATCACTTAGATAAGAAAATAACTTTGCTTTCAGATCAGTTTTAAATTATATATTTAATCTACATTATATAAATAATTTTTAAATATAACACTTATTTTTGTTTGACATAATTAATATATAATTTTTTTATATATTCTTTTGATTACTTGTACTTTTTTTATTACTTTTTAAATATTTGTTATTTAACTATCATGTCATCAATTAATCCATTTGACGTAAACCACTAACCCA